GGGGCCGGGCAGCCGGGGGAGGGGGTCTGACCCGGGCACCCACCCCGCAGGGTTTGGCAGCAGCCCTGGGGCAAGGCCGGGGGCCCGGGGGGGCCTTTGAGGGGGAAGAAGGCAATAGCGTGTGTGTGTGTTTCTTATATATTTATATATAAATGTATACACAGGTGTATTTGTATATACTTGTATGTCTATATTTGTGCACATATGTGTATTTTCTCAGCAGTGCTGCTCCCTGGGCCGTTCCCCGCTGTGCGGAGATAACCCGCCCCTGGTCACCCCGGCAGCCCCTCGGGCGCAGCCCTGAGCCGTGTTTTGGTGCCCCGTCCTGGGGTTCGTTCCCCTTTTCCCTTGGTCCCGGGGTGTCTCGGGCCGGGTGCTGCGAGGGCGTTCGCCTTCAGCGCGAGTAAAATTGGTTTTTTGGCACAAATAAGTTGCCGCCAAGAAGTGGGATGTGATGCACGTGCCTGGGAACCGCCAGGGGATGTGGGACGAGGCGTCCCCTCGCTCGGCGAGGTTTGAGCACCGTTTCTGTGTGTTTCTGTGGAGCTGCTCTGCCCTGGTCCTGGCTAGGGGGGCTGAGCTCAAAATCAGCGTGGGGTTGCGCACTGGATGGGATGTGGTGCATCCCATCCCTCCTTGGTCACCCCTGCTCCTCTCGGCTCAGATTAAATTGCAAAGCCTTACTTAAGGGGAAGCGAGACGCTTAGAGAGGCGGTGCAGGGAGGATGGTTAAGCTCACTCTGTCCCCTTTGGTGAGGAGGGGTTTGGGGCACGCTCCCCCGTTAACCAGGGAGGAATTTGGGGGGTTATTCTCTGTCTTTCAACACCAGGCGCTTCTCCTGACGCACCTCATCTCTCCTAGGTCAGCATGATCCCGGGGCACGGGCCGGTGATCCAGTCGGTGCTGGGAACCTTCCTCACCTGGGGGCTGACAGCGGCTGGCTCGGGGCTGGTGTTTGTGTTTTCCAGCGGGCAGGTGGGTGCTGGGATCGTGTCCCCTGTCTCCGGGAGGCGAGCGGGGTCTGGGGCAGAGGGCTGCGCTGTGCTCGCGGGTGGGTTTGGCTGCCTGGTCCCAAGCGTGAGGGGCTTGACGTTGGCCCTGGGAGGTCCTGGGGCAGGAGGAGGAAAAAATCCAGCTCATTTCTCTCCCGTGTGTCAACACAGAAGAGGAGAAGGAAATCAAATTCTCGACCTCAGGCTGTGGTATGTGCTGTAGTGCAGCTCGCGGTGTTCAGGAGATGGGGCAGAGCCGCAGGCAGGGCTCTGTGTTTGGAACAGCAGGTTCTCCTCCTGCAACCTGGTTTCTCTGGTGCGGGATCCGGGTCAGCCCGTGCTCAGAACAAGCAAAGTGCTGATTGTTAAGTCATCTTGTATTCCAAAATCAGAGGTCCTCCCTTGCTGTTGTGTTCATTGCCTGGATGAATTTATTATTTATGCCGCGCTCTTGTGATGATTTATTCAGGAGTTTGCAAAGTGAGATTCCCTTTGCAGTAGCATGTTGGTTTTCTTCCTGGGGGAGGGCGATGTGCTAAAGAAGAAAAACTGCACTGGGAGTTAAGTGGGCAGGACACATGCTGGGTTACTGGAAGACTAATGGCGTTGTTTATAGCAGCCTGTTATTAGAGGAATCAAAGTCTTTCAGGGAGGGAAATGCAGGGCAGTGTGCACTGGGCAGGAGAGTTTCTGGTTTACCTTTCCATATCCTCAGAGCATTTTGGCGTGGGCGCTGGATGGGCCAAGCCTGGTCTGGGCAGCGTTGGTGGGTGGAGGGAGCCAGGATGCGCTGTAGGCTCTTGGTAATGGTGGGGTGCCATCACCCCACGACGGTGGGCTCCTCTGCGTGAGGAGCACGGCTCTTGCCTCAAAGCACAGAAGTCACTTGGGTTGCAGAGATGGGGAGAAGAAAGTGATCTCAGCGTGGCAGCGGTGCAGCTGGCTTCCCCCCTTTGCATGGTTTGTGGCGTGGTTGCACTCCACTGCTTCTGCCAGGAGTAAATGGTGTGTTTTGTGTTTATTTGTTCTTTTTTTTTCTTTTGCAGAGGCGGATCCTAGATGGGAGCTTAGGCTTCGCTGCGGGGGTAAGTACAGCATCATTCTACTCATCATCTCTGCCTGTGTTCTCCTGCCGACACCTCTGAAGCCCCACCATGCTTCGTTTGGTTGCCTGCTCGTGTTAGTGTTTCTTGGATAATTGCCTGAGGTGCAGGTGGGGCAGGGAAGAGCATGGTGCAGCGCCGGTCACGTCTTGTCATGTCTCGGTGCCTCTTCGGTGAGGGTGGAGGTGGCATGAGGAGGGTCATGAGGACGTCGAGCTGCCCACGCTGGATTTGGCTCTCTTGAGTTAAACTCTTCTCATTTCCTTGGGCTTCTGAATCATTCCTCCTGGAGCACTGGTGTCCTGGAGGCTAACGTGCATAGCTTGCTTTGTGCTTCTTGCTCTACTGTGGAGCGTGGGTGCTTTAAGCCCTTGAGAGAAGGGGGAATAAAGACACTGCAGCTCTAAATCAAGGGTGCACACTAAATCTGGGGCTTATTGCATCTTTCTTGAAGGAAGACATGAAACTGTGTGGCTTGAAATTGTGTTGGGGCTTGTGAATGTAGACCTTCTCCCACTGCCCAGCTGCTGGGGTGATGGGGAGCAGGTGGAGGCTCATTCAGACTCGTTAAATCACGTTTGTTTTCCTTCAGGTGCTGGAGTGTGCCTGAGAGCCTGGGGAATGTGCTCTGGGTGGAAGGCGCATCTTCCCAGGGCGTGTGGCGGGTGCGCCAGGGCACAGGGATCTGCCAGGTTCCGCTCGCTGTGTCCTGGCTGTGTAGCTGGCACCTGGAGCGCGGGCGATGGCCGGGTTTTTTTTTTTTGCTGCCGGGTTTTGGGGTGAACCACGAGCCTGGCAGTGCGGGTGGTCTGTCCTGCAGCGTGTAGTAACGCCGCTCGTGCTGAGGCTGTGCTTGGAGTGCGGTTCCTTCCTCCCTGTGCACCCCCAGACACTGCGCCGCCGCTGATCAAGGCGAAATGGGACTGTTTGCAGCTCTGGAGGTCGCAGGTCTTCTGCTGTTCCTGGAGCCTGAAGCAAACCCAGCTGCACCGAGCGAGGGCCTGCCGTGGTGGGTGACATGAAATGCTGCGAAGCTTGGTTTGCTCCCTAGCAAGCTTTCCTGGAATGTGCCTGCGACTTGCTGATGATGTGAATAATCCAACTCGTCTGTTGTAGCGGATTCTCGGGCCGTCATTTATAAATGAATCACTTGCGTTAGGAATTGCCCATTCTGGAGCTTTCCTCTGTGGTTTGATTTCTGAGCTGTTTTTCTCTGGGAGACACACCCTTGTCCCTGCAAGCCAAGTTGGAGCCACTTCTGTGGTTTTGGGGAGATGCTGCTGGGGACAGCGTGGGCTGGGCTGTCCCCTCTCTGGGGCATCGCTGTCTCCTGAAGCAGCTGGTGCGACTGTCCTGCAGCTGGGGAGGTACCGGGGCATGGCGGGGTGTTTGCCCCGGCCGAGGGCTGGCTCGGGTGCTGCCCCGGCACGGCATGATGCTGTCCTTGCCATGGCCACCGCGTCATCCTGCCTGGAGCACTGAGTCATCCCTGCGTGGCAGAGGTGTGGCTCGGCTGGTGAAGCAGAAGTCCTGCAAACATTTGCTTTTTCCCCAGCTTCTTTCAATTTGCTGTGCTTGGAGTAGGAAGGGGGAATTTTTTTCTGGGGTTGCTGCAGTGTCTGGAGGGGAATGTCAGCGAGGAAACCCGTGGTGGCAGGTCCCGTTGGCAGAAGGTGCTGCCGCATAAACCACCCACGAGCTGCAATTTGTGAAGGTTTCTAGGTTGCACTTATAGGCCTGAGCTGCCAAAGCTGGTGCTGGTTGGGGTGAGCTGCCTGTGTCACCCAGGGTCACTGCAGCCCTGCCCTGATGCTGCGTGGCCAGGGCCAGCTCTTTCGGAGGAAGGTGTCAGAGATCCACAGGCGCTTGTGCCGCCATTGCTTCTAGGGCCGCTGGGCTCGCTGGGAGCAGGTCCTTGCTTGGTGGTCGAGTCTTTGGGTGGCAGTGATGTGGCAAAAGCACCAGAGGTTGGAACTTTTATTTTCCTTTTTGCTCGGTTTGCTCCAGATGTGCCCGTAGCTCTCTGCCCCGTGTCTGACAAGGGGCTGGTGTATCCCCCTGCGAGGGCTGCGCTCGACCCCGCACCTTGATGCTTCCCCTGTGCAGCTGCCCGGGGCCGAGGAGGGGGTTTGCTGGATGTTACCCCCGGGCAACAGAATCCCCCTGAGTTTTTAGCAGAGTTGTTCTTTTCCCAGCCGGGCAGTGTTGTAATGGCTTGACTGGCAGTGTGACTGGCCGTGTCTCTATCTCATCCTTACCCGAAAGGGTTTAATAATATGAGAAGTGTTTTCCTCCCTCTGCAGACAGGGAAGGTGCTAGTGATGTGTGTGCTTGGTGGCTTTGCAAAGAGTCCACGGAGAAGCTGGAGGAGAAACCACCTCCTGACCTGGCCCTTCAGGACAGCCCTTCGGCAGGAGGGTACCGTGGCCGACTCGCGGCTCCCTGTGCGCAGGTGGAAGTGGGATGGTGGAGGTGGGACGTGATGCTGGAGCTAAGCAGGCTGCAAGCCTGAGGCTGGCTGTATCCGAGGGCGAAGCAATGGAGAGGGAACCCAGATGGGCTGTGAAATCCTCCTGGCTGTCTGGGATGAGGGGCCGTTCCTGCCTCATCCAGGCCTTGTGCTGCAAAACCGGTGTTGGGGGAACCTCGGGAGCAGCGCGGGCTCTCCGTGTTTTAGCAGGCTGGCTTTCTACAGGGGAAAAAGCAGGGTGTGGAGCAGCTGGTTTTGAAACCTATTTGTACTGTTCTCTCTCTCTTCCTCCCTGTAAAAAGTGTTTCATCAGACAGTGATGTTGCTCTGATCATGGACTACTTCTCTTGCTCTGAGGGATTTCTGTTTAAAACACCGTGTCTTTGATGTAGGTCTCTTGCAGATACGTACAGGCTGTTTCTCTGAGCACTGGGGTAGAGAGAGGCAGAACTTTATCTCCGCTCTGAAATCTGGGCTGCTGGGTTTAATTAAACTTCCCCTGTGCTCTGTCAGAGCCAGGAAACCTCCGGTTCCTGTGCTTTTGGAGGCAGGTATTGCTTCTAACCTTGCTGTTTTGGTGCTTAGCTCAGGATCCCTGGTAGTCATCGGGGTTCCAGGGAATGTGCATGGTGCTCTCCGAGACCAGGATTGCTGGTGAAACAGGGTATAACGGATGGTTCGCTTTCCTGTTGGTAACCGTTTGCCTGCTTGTCTTCTGGGAGCTTGGAAAGCAAAATAAAACTAGAATTAATTAAAAACTTCTCTACAGCTGCTGAATCAGGAGGAGGACATGGGACAGGGATGACCAGGTGACCTCGAGGAGGATGGTCCGGGATGCAGAGTGTTAGTCTGGGATCCAGAAAGCCGCAGCTCGCCACTGCCTTCGCTGCAGATGCGCCATCTGATCTAGGGGAGCCGGTGTAAGCCTGGGCACGTGGTCAAACTGCCGTGCCCTGAGCTGGGGCGTGCCGGGAGAGCCGCCTGTGTGTGCTGGGAACGCGCCGACTGCAAAGCAAAATCCCCTTTTGGCACGGCTCAAGCTTGCCACGTCTGATGGCACAAGTGTCGTCTCAGGCGAAGGGGACCCGTGCGGCTGGTTGCTGCGACGTGGTGGAGCTCAAGCTTCTTCCAGCCCGGTACCTCCGCTCGGGTGTCTGAGTGTTTAGCTTCTCTCTGCCTCAGTTCCCTTTCGGGAAATCGTGGATAATAGAGGGTTTTGTATGCGAAAGCCTCTGAGGTGATGTGTTTCCATGGAGACAAGGCTTCGCTTGCTTGGGCATCTGATGTGGAATTCTGCCTTTTCTCTTAAATCTTCATATTCTTAAATAAGACCTTTTTTCCGATGTTCTGTTATCTCTGTGTTATCCTGGAGGTGCTGTGCTCTCAGATCTCTACATAAACACTTGCAGTGCTCCTTCCCTGCAGCCTCACATGGCTATTCCTCTTACTGGGTCGTAGTTTGATTTCTTCTTCTGTCCCAGGTGAAGCAGAAAATCATAAAGACACGCTCCTTAAACTGCACCAGACATGTCTGGTATTGAATATTCCCTTTCAGTACTGCTTAAAACAGCATCAGTAATTTACACGGGTCTACTGAGGCCGGTTCTCGTTGTTGGAGCCTTAATGAAGTCAAGCTAAAAGGTTTGGCAGGGAAAGTGTCCTGCCAGTCTCTCACCTTCCACTTTTCTTTCCTGTCCTGCCAAGGGGATCTCCTTCGCTCGTAAGCGGCTTGGGTTTTCTGATCTGCACGCCACTAATGTGGCCGTTTCCCTTGAAGCTGCCGTTCTCATCTCGATCCCGCAGGAGTGCGACGAGACGTTGCCGCTTGCAGCAGACAAGATGAGAGGGCTTTAATGTTAACGCAGCGGTGTGATACCAGACTTAGATGTGCAGGGACTCTCCCCCTCGCTCTGGGGTCCAGCAGGGCCAGCTGTGGCTGGGGACGAAGATCATTGTCCTGTTTATTCTGTATTTACAGCATAAAAGCTCCTGTGCGGCTCTGAAGCTGCATGGGCTGAGCTGGGGCGGTGCTGGCTCCGCGGTCCAGGTGGGGGGGAGTGTTGGCACCCCAGCATTTGGGAGGGCACCTGCTTGGAAAGAGATGCTGGTGCCCAGGGGTCAGCAATGGAGACCCATCGAGCCCTGGGAGAGGTGTTGGGACATGGGGTGGCTATAAATCCTGCTGCCTGGCATGTTTCGAGGGTTTTCCATCAGCGTGAGGACACAGGCCTGGATTCAGTCATTTCCCGTGGCACAAGGTGGTCGGGTTTTGAGCCTGGGTTTTGTCTCTGGTTATGCTGATGTATCCCAGGGAAGGGTTTGGGCTCCCCACAACCTGGGGATGCTTTAGATACGCAGCTGCCTTCTGCATGCTTTCTCCTCCCCCCCATCAACCACAGCTTGTTTTCCCAAGAGCTGGTGGATTTACGGCGTTGTTCCATCTTGGCTCTGGAGCACGAAGCCTCTTTTGCGAAAATGTCCAAATCCAGTTTGGCAGGAGGTGTGTCCCCCGGTGCCAGCGAGCGAGCACGCTGTGGGC